TTAGCGTCTTTCATGTCACATGACATTTCCATCCCCTCTTAATTAAGTAAGAGGCTATAATTAATATTTAATTAAACTTTGTTTTTTGCCAATTTCTGATCAAGATATGACATAGCATTGTCAAGTAGTTTCCTTCAAAGAACTGCAGTCCTTTATTTAACAAATAAAWCAGCTTTTTCCRTGCTCCKTTCAGTAATAAAGCATGCAGGAAATGACTTAAGCAACGTTTGCGCTTATTTCGCTTTCTAAGTGTGAACCATACAGTAACACAAACGCAAATAATGCAAACAAAAACGCAAGAAATGGAAACTTTTTTTATTTTTTTGTGCTTGCGTTTGTGTTTGCKTATCTTGATTTATTTGCATTTGCGTGGCACATGTGAACATTGCTTGCATTTGSGCTTGCATTTGCATTGCTCATGTGAGCCAGGCTTAACTTGAATAGTTGCATAATAATAATTTGATCTTATTTTTGTTTTTTAGTTAAGAAAAAAGAAACTTTTGATCGAAAATGCTTGAAGAGGAAAAACCCTATCTCAGTCAAGCCTAAGTATCCTTTGATGCTTAAGAAAATTCAGGTTGCCTTTGTCTTGCATGACYTGATCCGCCAGATGACACCCCCTTTCAAATCTACTCTTTCGAGAAGAGTTCACCTCCATGGTTTACAGTCAATTCGCCCACGGACCAAAAATGGTGCATAAAAAGTTTGAATTTTGAAGTCTTGAGCAGCTTAAGTTTAGACATTTCTTAAAGTGATTTTAACGTGGGCGAGTTTGCATGGGCGAGTTGGCAAACACATGATTGATGATTTCAGACATGGGCGAATTGGCGTGGACGAGTTGGTCCATGGGTGAATTGACTGGTTACCACCTCTATRACATCTCCCTTTACACATGAAGAAGGTTTCCGGCATCCCATGCCAATTCGGCATTTCATGCCAAACATGAATGAGTTAGATTTTTAAAAAAATCTTGAGTGAAAAATGTTATAAGATGATGAAACACATAATAATATGTGGACCTTAACTCAAGTGTTTCTTAAAGTAAAAGAATTCAAGAYGATAAGGAGGCAAGTGTTCTCATATTACACCCATTTTAAAAATAAATTATGAAATCACTCAACACAGCCCAAGATGTCTAGGTTTTGGTTTCCATCAAAAATCTAACTTAAACCATTGGCAATTGGATTGATACTAGGTAGAAGTCAAAAACCCAGACCATAATTATGATGAAAATTATATATAAAACAAAAATGTCAGTTAATGACTTTAAATTAATGCAGTTTGTCGTAGGAGTGTTTTAATTAATACCTGAARTGTCCTTTTCTCAGTCATCGGTGAAGTATATTGCTTTAGATGGTTGTTCATTGACAACTGATGACCTGGTCAAGCTTGGAACAGGAAAATATGTCATTAAGGTACTAATACATTATGTTGCACCTTACTTCAGCTAGATTTTGTACTAAATGAAAATTTAATGCTTGGTGCYTCTAACATGTTTGTACCCTGCGGTAGCACAAAGCTTTATTGGTGTGACAAAAAATGTAATAAAAACAAAATAAATTGTATTTAAAGCTAACAGATRAATCCAAAGCCATGGTCAACAAAGGAAGACAACTATTGGAAGACATTGTCAAACAAAATCAARGTAAACTGATATATTTAGGCTCCGTCCACACGTATCCGGAAATTTGTGTATCCGCAAATTTTTTTTGTGGATACGGGTTGCATGCACATGTGTCTGGAAACTTGTGTATCCGTATCYGGAAATTTTTGAAAACTGTCTCTAGAGTGGAAATTTTCTCTGAATACGGATACGTGTGGACGGTCGTAYCCGCAAATTTTCGAATACGTTGACGTACACACGATTTTGCAAATGCTCAATAAGAAAAACTATCTGACAAAGGGACTAGACAATAGTGTGCATCAGGGAAATCAAGAAATTTGGGGATACGTGTGGACGCAGTGAAAACGATTCGAAAACGATTTGAATACGCTGCTGCGTGAGGCGTGAACATTTTTGCATCCACAAAAAATAATTTGCGGATACAAATATTTCTGGATACGTGTGGACGGGGCCTTACTTGACAAAGGATTGAACTGCCATCACTGAACTGCTATATCTTTTGCTTACTTTTTCTAGCTGCCTATGGAGTCAATACTGGCTTTGGGAAATTTGCAAACGTTATCATAGCGAAAGATAATCTAACGTATGTGTAGTTCTGATTTTTTATTACTGTATAGTAGCAAGTTTTTCATTTGTTATTTCATTCATCCCTCTTTTCCTCCTTTCCTATATCTCCCCATCCCTCCCTCAACCCTTTCTCCCCTTCTCCTTTCCATTTCATGATACGGTCATACCGCTACGAGATAAATCCTGATGTCTTATTTACCACTTTACTATTTATTGATCTTTTTTGCCTGTTTTCATCAGTGAACTGCAAGAGAATTTGATACGCTCCCACGCCATAGGTAATTATGTYTTAATCAGTTTTATTATGATAATGAGCAATGGAATGGAGGATATTTGTTGAAAAAGTAACAGCGAGTAAGATTACTGCTTTGATTTAGTGAAAACGATTGCSGGGATGTCAGCAGTTTTAGAATGAGTGGGAATCATTAGGGAAAATTTGTAGCCATCCTGTAGGCCTATCGTATTTTACCGTAGCTGTAGCTACAGGTTGTGATAGTATAAATCACTGGAAGACAATCAGAAGGCATTCCAATGTTAAGGCATGTCGTAACCGTGTACATACATGTACTGTAAGTCAGAACCGTATGTTTACCACTCATATGATAATCAATTTTATACGAAGCCATTCCAATGTTATGGAAGACAATCAGAAGCAATTTGCAATGTTACAGCATGACGCACCATCTTTGTGCTGRAAAGTCAGTATCTTATATGTTTTCCTCACACTCATATGAAAATAGCTCTACGAAGTATATATGTCATGCCRTAATATACAGGATTCACACTTAGAAACTCTCACAGTAGAGTTCGGTTTTCCTACAGTACGACCATTTTTGCATTGATTTTTAACAATCTTTTTCCCAATCTTCTCTTATTCGTGTCATTTTAGGTACTGGTGATACACTTACTGTAAACAGAACACGAATGTTGCTTGCTCTGAGAATAAATGTACTCGCGAAAGGGTACAGGTAAGGCATAAAACTTATTTCATATTCTTTTCTTAAAAAACACTCACTAATAAATATTCATACATTTATCGAGTTWTATCCATCATTGTTGCTTGTTTCACCTTAATAAGCTTAAACCTCATCGTTACGAACAATATCAGTCATCAATTGATAACAAATTCTATTCCTTTTTGGAACAATTGAATCTGGCCTAATCCGATTTACATGAAAACGATTTCATTTTCTCAGGGGAGAACAACTCTGTTGTTGTGCCTCCTGTCATGGCTGCCATCACTTGATGTTGCAAAGCCTCAGTATAAGCTAAAAACTCATTGTTACAATCAATATCAATTGATAACAGTTCTACCCTTTTTACCACAGTGGGATCTCGGAGAGCACTCTTGAACAATATATTACAGCATTTAACAGTAAGTACTTACMTTTATTAATGGAGTGTCTGCCATATTTTACATGATCATTGCCATTATATTGGTTGCTGGTTGGGTACATGTAACCATATCACCATTGCCAAAGATGCTGTCTTACTGTCACAGCCCTTCTTGCTATTCTCATCAACACAGCTCTATGGCACTAAGATTGGGAACTATCAAAAAGTATGGCATACGATAAGGAAAGGCACCATAATGGATGACTTTATTATGTTGAAAAAATGCCATCAGCTTCTTCTTAGTCTGTTATACACCTATTTCAATAAATGTTGTCATCGCCAAAGGYGATAGGTCATTCCGACATGGAAATGGTTTTGTCAACTACAATCAACATTGCAATATCAGTCTCAACACTAGGTTCCATGTTCTTGATGAGAATAAGAAACAGAAACACAAGTCATTCCAGCTATTCTTGATCTTGTAATGACYKATCTCCTATCACTTTGCACCTATYGCTTATTGCCTATCGCCTTTGGCCATGACAACGTTTATTGAAATAGGTATATCATCCAACATGGCATGCAGTCATTGACTTGTAAGTTATTGTTGTGAGATACCTGCACCCAAGAGTGTGTAGAGCACTCTTTCTAATCTTTTGAAATATAAATTAAAGAAATACTTGGTGGCTAATAACAAACTTCTGTGATTGGCCTTTCTGAAGTGCAAAGGTATAGGTGAGGAGCTCATGTTGCATAGGATGGTAGTGGAAATTATATAAAAGCTCAACAATATAATTTAGGCCCAYAATTCTATATGCACATTAAGAAGGATACTGAATGGGAAGGCCAACAAACTGACAAAAAAAGACMTACTTGGGCTCCCTGGGTTGAGGTATTGGAGTCTATAACACATACTATTGTGTTTGTAGATTCGTTGTTACCCATGGTTCCTGAACAGGGTACTGTAGGTGCAAGTGGAGACTTGGCACCACTCGCTCACTTGGCAWTGGGTATTGCTTTGGGAGAAGGGAAGATGTGGAGTCCAAGAAGTGGATGGGCAGAGGCAAGCCTGGTAAGGGTTGTAGGAAAACAAATTGAACAATATTTTATAGACCTTTAGACTTTATCTTGGGTTTAATGTTTTCCCATTTCAGACCATGTGTCATTCTCTAAAACATAATTTCTTTGTTTAACGGTTGTGCATGAAAAAGGCACAGAAATATGGATACAACTCAAACAAAGAATCCTATTCTCTGGAGTCTGAATGACACAGTCTGAAATGGGAAAACATTGCACCAAGATGAATAAGGTTTATTACCCTGTCATAGTCATGAAAAAGCCGCATGGATTCCA